CTGTGATTCTGTGATTCTGTGAAATTAACATCCTAAAACTAAAGCTTAGTCTGAGCTGTTTAATTCAATGGGAACTGGAGAAGTTGTATGAGAACAATTCACATCCTGATCCTTCTGTTCATTATTAGCAAAAGCAAACGGTTAGTCTGCAGTGGAAGAGCTCTTTCCTTGCTGTCAGCAGGCATCCCTACAAGCCCAGGGGTAAAGGCATAAAAGTCCAATTCAACATAGAAATGTACAAACCTCTTCAAGATTTATGTTTATACTCTGTAATTGTTTTTAATGTGGGTAATGACAGTTATTCCCTTGGTTACTGTATCATTGATTGCACCGGTGAAATACGGATGCACTTTATTGATCACTTGGCGCCTCCGGATTTTTGAGCTCTGGTGTATGTGAACAGCATTTATTGTCTCAGCACTTTGTCTCTTAGCCTTTTTCGGTTCTTTCTGAATGCCCATGGGTTGTTTGCATGTTTGAGCTAATATACATTGTTTGCAATGAAGAACATCATGCAGTCATATTTTTAGCAGAATTCTTTGACAGAAGTAATGGGGACCTCTCCTTGAAAATCCATGTTGTGGTATGACTCAGCTTTGAAGTACAGCAGAGCTATAGGGTTATGCTAAGTTCCAGTAGTTTAGTTTGCTCTGAATTGGTGCTGTAGTTGAGCTTTATACCAAAATGAACCACGTTTTTTTCTTTTCTTTTCTGTTTATTCCATCTAATTGAAAAGATAAGTAGAGCCTCCCATCATTAAGTCATTTAGCTTTATGTTCCCTTTCCAGTTGTAGTAGAGTTTTGATTATTTCAGGATGATGTATTGTGCCATCACTGAGTCTGCAAAGTACCTCTTACACCTATAAATCTCCTTTAGTATTGCATTTCAAAAAAGAAAATCTAAAACCAATGAAAAATACCCAATAAATTGAATTTATTTTGCAGCATTAATTGGTGAAGTGTGAGTAAAAAAGGAGAATAAGAAAATAATCTACCCAAAAAACCCAGGCCATACAAATACTGAGAAAATCGGGTTTTTATACGGCTGCTGTTTACCAGTATCTGTTCCAATGTGAAAAATATTAAAGACCAAGCCAATTTGTGACAGAGAACACATCAGGCAAGCAGGCAGTCGTTAATGGCTATTTGAATGTACAAGTCAACAACCTAGTGCCATAGCTATTGAACAGACACAGTCACTGGTTTGCAGGGGCAAATCTGAAACACCATTCCAGCCCTTTCCAACCCAGCTGGGGGAACAAGCCTGTGAAAAAATGGCCCTGTCCACTACCCAGTCTTCTTGCGAGCTGAGAAGCTTTGAAAGATGAGAACAGAAGTTTGCCCAAAGGATAAATCTGTGTTTTTCTTCAGAGTAGTTAACCAGCCATTTTTGTAGCATTAAATCAACAAATTAATGATGATGCCAGAGGACAGAGCGCTCTGTGTGAGGCTTGTTTACTTGCTTGTCAACACTTCAGTACAACAGCCATGGGGGGAGGGAGACTGGCTCGACTAGGGAGGCTAAGGACTAATTATTATCCGAAAGGGCTTCATTTGAAAGTAAAATTATAACATTTTAATTTCATCTCTTAATGAAGCAATACAAATTTGTTAATTAGAGCAATTGTTTGAGTGACAGGCATGTAACCAAGCTGTCATTTCTTCTTCACAGTTGACAGATCCGTTCAGGCCCATGTTGAGGGTAAGAAATCTTCTTGTGATACAGTTTGTCAAGCTCGTCTCAGTCCCCACTGGGTTAAAGCAGCAGACTAATTATAAAGCAATGCCATGGTTCATCTTGGGTATTTTACAGTGTTTGCTTAGTAACATGGTCAGTCCTTCTTTGCATGCATCTTGTGGTCACTCGAGGAAATTACACAGTTTCAGAGTTGGAAATTTTTTGTTCTTCTCATGCAACCCACTAGCATGAATACTAGAGGTTAAATATTGATAATGCTTCTATCATGTTGGCTTACAAGGTCTCCTGAGCCAAATCCTACAGACCTACCCTGGTAGGGATCCCTTGTCATTTCACTGCAGACTGAAGGATTTTGCTTTTTATTATTTACTGTGTGTTTTCATTGTTATTCAGTACAGTACTGCCTACCTGAGTATCTTACTGTCAAGTATAGACAGACAATCCACTTCAAACACAAAATATTTTAGATATAAGGATGAAAAGCTACAGGCTTTCAGTGATCCAAAAGGGGTTTTTTGCTAATTTTTCAGCATGTTCAAGAGGGTCCAGATTTTGATCAAACCAGCCAAGTGCACGTATTAGATCACTAGCACAGCCAGTTGCTGTGACTAAGCAAAAGGCTTGAGTTTAGGGGAGTATGTGTGTGAGATGGGTTTTATGGTTTTTGTGGCTCTAATTGTTGGTTGATACACATCTAGAAATAGAAGGCAGACTATATGCCATAGTTGGTGAAACATTTAAGTTACCAACAGCTTGAAGAGCTTCTTGAATTCCTGTGATTATTTTTAAATCTGCAGGAATCATTAGTTGTGTAGTTAACTACAGACCTCTAAATAACCAAATTGGAGAAAGTGTATCCTGAATGAGTCTTTTTCAGACAAGGTTTCCAGATGTCCTGGAAATGGAGTACAGAATCAACACAAAAAACGAAATAGCACTCTCTGGTTCTTTCCTCCCTCTCTCCTCCCCATGACTTAAAAGCATGGTGACAGGAAGGATGCAGAGACTTCCCCAACAGAGTGAATTGACTCACCTCCAATTTTTTCGGTATATTTCTGAGCCAAAGTTTTGGAGCTACAAACCAGCAGTTATATGAGGCAGTCAGATTCATTTTGAAAACCAGAGTGATCTTTTAAAGTGCTTTCATTTTCATCTTTTGGTGAAAGGCTAGTCTTAGAATAGCTGCACTTTTGGAAATTAACTCAACACACAGTTGTGAAGCAGTCCAGCTTATTTGGAGAGGAGACTGACCAGGAGCATTCCTGGATATCCAGATAAACTTCTTAGCAAGGCACAAATTCTTTGCATTTCTGGAGGAAAGCAGTTGAAGGGGGAGATCCTTTGGTTTCAGTTGTCTTGGCATGGGGAATCCCCTGGAGTAAGAGTTGGCATGAGATGCTGTAACTAGAATGAAGCATCACAGGTTTTTGAAAGTCCCTGATTCATGTTGTATCCCTTTGTTTGTTGCAGAAACCTGGAAAGTGGTGCGCTATGCATGTTCACATCGCCTGGCAGATCTACCATCACCAACAGAAAGTCAAGGTCAGTCTTTTAGGCTTGCCTGCTTTTCAGATGAATTGCACAGTGCAAACCTGTGAGAGCAAGAGCTTGCCTTTCACTGTTAGCAGTTCTATACTGTAGCTAATGCCTTGTTAAAGTAACCATATGTAGCGTTATAGCACACCCTTCCATTTCATTGTGATGGCATATCGGAATTAAAAACCTAAAGGTAGAGTCTCAAAGGAATGTCCTTGCCACAGAGCAAGGACACCAAATCTTAGCCATAACAACTAGTTTGCAGCTAAGAAGAGCTAAATGGGTGTGCCTGTGAGCTACAACATTGCTACAACATATCAAGATTAAGTTTTTTAAGTCTGGAGAAGCTAGGCACCTGTGTCCCATTCTTATTAACATTCACGGACAGAAGAGGGCACGAGATTTCTCCTGTCCCTACAGTGCTTTATCCAATGTGGATGCACAGGGTCCCATCAGTCTTTCTTCACAACCCATTTCATAGCTGGAGGTTGGTGCCTGTACCATTTCTGGGCTGGTCAGGCAGACACAGCCTCTCAGATGAAGTAACGTTATCCAGACACTGTCTCCTTGCATCGAAGGGAAAGGGGTAGAAATATTTTCTTTGTTATGCACGCTTTGAGACTTCAAGGGTAAGGGCCATGGCCAGTTTAGGCTCTCCTGAAACAGACATCGGAGAAAAACAAAAATTTGTTCATTTGGGTATTTCCATTCTTACTTTAACTGTATTTTCATTGCATGTTGACTCTGTGAAGAAGGTTTCTTTCCCTTTATAATATTTTCACTTTACTTGTCACTGAAACATTCTGTGTTGCTCCTGAAGTTTTTCAGTAAGTTAGGAAAGGTTGGTGTTCTTTACTGTTCATACTTGTTCTTCAGGAGTCAATAGCTTGTGTTAGACAGTAAAATTAACAAGGAGTGCATTGCACTTTGCAGTCCATAGGCAATTGAATTGTATAAGGTAGTGCTATAAGAATATGAAGATGTTGAACAGCTAGTAAAACCTGCAGCTAATAGAGTTTAAAAATAACCCTTTTAAACAAGGTTGACAGGTTAATTTGCTGCAGTAGACATATCTCTCTTCTCTGCTTCCTTATGTTTCCCCTGCTACTGATCTTCATTCATCTTACCATTATCAAAAAAGACAAGATTATAGACCTAGAGAGTTATATGTCCTTTTTTTTTATTTTATTGAAAAGGTATTTTCTTGAAATGAAATTATTGTTCCCATGCTATCTATGTCCTTTGAATCTTCCTTGATCTGATATTCAGAGAGAGGTCATACTGGTGTATTTATAACTCATAGTAAATGCCATTTTCATGCAGCCATTTCTTTTACCTAATAATTTTCTATCTTGCATGTTAAAAAACAGGAATAAAGCCCAGAAGTACAGGAAAGGATGTTACTTGAGTTTTTGAGGCTGTGCATGATGATAATTTCAATAATTGAGAAATGTATTTCACTATCTCAGTTCAGTCCAAAAATTAGGTATGGTCTACAGTCAGTAAGACGAGGTGGTTCATGTCCCTGTGGGCTGTCTGACTCCCAGATGGGAACAAAGTCCTCCCCTCTGCATGCGACCACAAAGTGTGAAATCTCTGGCTGAAGGCTCATACAGAACAATTTGTCCTTCTAGCTCAAGGTTGTGAAGGTGCCTTTTCTTCTGCATGAGCTGAAGATGCTGCCTGACTGTAGAGCAGGGAATAAAATATATTTACTCAGAGATTTCAAGTTTTTCATGCAGTGCCACCAGACTGCTTGCAAAGTATGGAAGAATTGCTAACTATCTGGCCTGCTAGTAATTGCTTGCAGAGGGCAACAGCAGACACTGAAGAAGCAGGCAAGATAGAAAACTTTAAAACACAACCTTCCTGACCCCAGGAAAAATTACATGCAGCTGTGGATGCTGTTTGCCTGCCTTTACCTCTGCACCAAGACAAAGTTCAGACCTGTGTAACCTGTCTGCACACCCAGGGAATTCCTCAGACAAAGCCAGGGCTGCATACCAGCTCCGAGCACAGAGCAGTTTTACACTCCTCCTTAGGCTGACCCATGTGTTACTGACTGGGATTCAAGAGACAATTTATGCTCTGTAATTGTCCCCCTCTCTTTTAGGAAAGGCCTTATGGCCCGATCTAACATGCCATGAAATTATTGCAGACGTTTACATTGATTTTTAGCAGGCCCTGAATTAAGGTGTTACACATTTGCTGGACTTTCAAGTACATCTGTAAGGATTATCATCAAGAGGGGTGCTCTCCTGAGCAGCAACTGGGGATAAAATAAATCTGATCAATTTTCTTTGGTACTATTTCAAGGTAAACCAACACATTGAAAAATCTTTTAACACATCCATGATACTCTGTTCCTCCTCAGACAGGAGATTTTTTCATTATTGGAACAGCACTGTTCATATGGCTGCAATTAAAGTTTCACCCAGCTTTTGCTATTCTGAGTAATGCCCGTCAGAGGTTTATCACTTGGTTGTTAAAAAGAAGAATAAAAAGAGTTCACAGCATAAACAGCTGGCACACAGGGTTCAACTGAGGCATTTGTATTTTCAGAAGTTTTTTTAATTATTTAAGTACTACAATGTTAGTTCCTTAAAAGATATGACCTTAACTTGGACATCTTTTCCATTTTAATGTTCTTGCAGGCCATTATCTCAAAACATCGATTTTTTGTCTCTTTTTGTTGTTGTTCTCATAGAAACAGACATGTTACTAGCACTTGAAAAACAGCCACTAGGCATGCACATTAACTTGGCCATAACTTTCTAATATGCATGTTTATATCATTGTAATAGTCTGTACTCTGAGCTGGCACAGTATTAAATACTGATTTATAAAGCGTAACGTGCTCCAAAATTACTGTTAAGATCTACAGGTTCAGTGTTACACATTTGTAAACCCTTTCAGCTGACCTGCACAATTAATCAGCAATCTGTGTTTAGGGAGTTCTGGCAGCACAGGTAATTGGGAATTTGGTTTTCTTCTTCGTTCTATAAAACTGTTGAAGTAGGGACCACTGAAATTAGTACATGGCACAAAGAAGAGCCCATCCTTCATCCACTTATCATTTACAATACAGCTACCTCAGCAAATTTGCCCTAAAAAAGAAAGTCTGCTGATTCTAATACCATATAAATAAAGACAGTGACATGCAGTGCTTTGAATTCAGAGTGCAAGCAGTCAAAATGGGGCTTCAGTTCTTTAGACTCGAATACGCTTCATCTGTAATTTGATTCATTTTAGCCCCTAGCTTGCTCGCTTGCAGTCTGAGAGGCACTGAAGGATACACTGCATCAAGTGTTTCTCGATTGCAGCTTCACATTTAAAATTAATGGTTCTGGTGTCCATGGACTTGTCTCCGCCTTGGCTGTCTAGCGAGAGACTCCTGCAGGGGGGAGAGAGTCAGCTGGCAGCTGTGCCTGGTACAGCTGATGCTCTCACACAGCTTTTAACGTGCCTGCCCACCTGGGATCAGGTCCAAACTAACAGTTTCTCTTCAGCTTTGCTTTTATTATTTTAAGAGAGACCTATTCTTACAGCTGAGCAAGTGTCTGAGGATTTTCAAATATGTTTATGTGTGTTCTTTAAGTCAGATCTGTGCTGAAATGCTTTGTTCCACAGGGGTGTGTGTGAGCCTATGTGAAAACACTGTTGAAATTTGTGGTAAATGTGCATTGGGAGCCTGAGATTTTCTCTCTGCCTTAGGTCCCTTTTCCAGGAAAATAGCTGTGCACCTATACTTGGAGTCACAAAAATTAATATTCATGATAAAACATGTTAGTATGAATTAATTGCTATACCCACATCATTCTGAAAGTGTCTTTTACTGCTATCTTTAAGGACAGTCTCTTCCAAATCCTTTTCTTGCATTTCAGAAACAGATGCAGTCTGATCCGCACAAGCTGGACTTTGGCCTGAAACCTGAATTTCTGAGCAGGCCACCAGGCCCCAGCCTTTTTGGAGCCATTCACCACCCCCATGACCTGGCCCGGCCCTCGACTCTCTTCTCCACAGCCAGTGAGTACGGAGAAGTGAAATCTCCTTCTTGTGGCATGCTCATTACAATGCTGATACTTGCCGTGTTAAGAGGAAATTTCCCATATGCTTTGGCTTATGAACTCTCTGCAAGACATGCCAGGGGCTATCGGTCTATTTGATAAATATTTTAAAATTACTTTGTATGCTTTTAAAAAAGTGCAACTTGATGAAATGCCATACAGGTAGTAAATGGAAGAACATTTCTTTGCACAGTGATGTCCGACGCATGATGGAGATGGCAGGTTGGAAATACGCTGTATTTTACATGCTTTATTTTTTTCCCATACTAAAACATTTCCCCACTCCACCCACCCCTTGTACTCTAACTGGGAACCTCTGTTTAGAAAAGCAGTTGCTGTTTGTGCAGAATCCTGACCGGAGAGCAATCTCTGCTCACCTGAGCTGCCATTTCAGAAATGACAGTCAAGCCCAGAGCACAGCGAGTCCCTTTCGGAGCTTTTTCTAGAAATTCACCCCTTTTGCTTTGTTTTGGCAGGTGGGGGTCATCCAGCAGGCACCCCTTTCGGCCCACCACCTCACCACAGCAATTTTCTCAACCCAGCTGCTCACTTAGGTAAGTCCTCTCTGTGACTAATGGTGAATACAGCTCGGAAGTAACACACATTGACCACTGAGACCATTAAAGGTTGCCCACATGGAGACTCTTTGAGTACCCTGCCTACTTAATGTTTACAAATTGTGCATTTTAGCCATTACCCAAGGGGCAGTTCTAAATACACAAAATAGTATCTCTGACAGCATGTTTTGGAATACTTCTGAAAACAGTCTGGATGTCAGAGGAGTGGAGTCACAGGGCTGGTTAGTTTCACTGTAGTCATGTTTATACCGGTCAAAAAAAATGCACTAAGGTTAAGGCTTTGGTTCATACAGGTGTTTCGTTTCCTAAGTCATAGTAGATGTCTGCTTTTCCATTTAAGTGAGTGGGAAATATATCCTTAATATCTTGTGATCTGGCTTAAAATGTGTCTGTTAGTGAAAACTAGTGAATACACATATGAAATGGAACCACTCAAGTTACCAAATGTTATTTCCCTTCTAGCTCACTGATGTTGCAGGAAGGTAGTCTGCTGTCTACAGGAGCATCAGAGATTAATGTTCTAAACTGACATTTTATTTTGCATAGGGAAGGATTTGGGAGGGTCACCAAATTGATACAGCAGCCTCACGATGTAGGTTTATCATTCTGCACTTAGCTGCCTATAGAAAATACTAGGTTTGGTCTTCCTTTTCTCTGTGCTGGTATTTATCACAAGTAGTTTCATCAAAGTCATTAGACTTCTCCAAAGTAATGTGAGAGGAGAATTTGCTTCATATGACTTACTTTAACGCTGTATGCATTAGCTACTAAAAAAATTATTCCAATATTTTTCAGTCCATACTAGTTTTTCACATCATATTATCAATAAATATCAAGAGCATTACAGAATGTTCAGGTCAGCATGACATATCAGCATAATAGGACATTTTATTTATATCCTGGCTATGGTTTAAGAGACATGGCCTGGAGGTGTTTTGGAGCACAGTTGCCAGAGTTAATAATAGTCTTGCTAGCCAGGGACATTTCCCGAGAAAGACCATGGAATTGAATTGGAAGGGAATAAAAGGAAATAAAAATTGAGATGTTTGCAGTTTTTAAATGAAGTAGCTACTTCTGCAGAAGCACAGGCCTCAATACCATGTATATTTTAACATCTTGTTTTTTGAAGAGAAGGTTTTTCTAGTAAGATAAACCTGTGCATACTGTCATTGGAAAAAAACAATGTTCTTTCAAGTCCCACCTCCACACAATCACTGTATTGTAGGAAGATGATGTTCAGCTACTGATGGGCACAGGCTGAGCTTTCATGCGGTTGTAGTCGGTTGGAAAACACGCTAACGCTTTGTCATAATTGCCAACATGCCAGTGAGCTTCAGCTGTTTCTCTTTTGCAGAGCCTTTCAATCGGCCGGCTTCCTTCAGTGGTCTCACTGCAGTGGGTAGTAATGCCTTCGGGGGACTTGGGAACCCAACAGTTAGTGAGTAACCTCCTTGTTTATGAATTCTTGTTTGCTGTGCAATTCAGGATATTGAGTGATGGTGACTGTTTGCTGTCTTTTTTACCCATTGCTTAGACCACATACCACTAAGAGATGAGAATTTGAAAAGTGACATTTTTCATCTAAATAACATTATTTTTAGTCATCAGTAAATTATTTTCTATTAATCACTTAATAGTTTGGGTTCAACATAGCGCTAAATGTCACCATGATATTGTTCATTAAAAAAAAAAAATACAGAACCTGTGAGGCTAAGGGGTTTGTGAAATTTCTCATGGTTTTGTTGCATGTTCAAAAATATTTAATGTGTGCACATCCCTAGCTGTGGATGGGAACATTTTTTTTTCCTTTCTCACCAGTAATCCAGAAAATCCAGAATGTGTGCCTGGATAAGATCGCTAACCTGCATTTATTTGTCCAGGATCATCAACATTTCTCTAGATTTGGCCAGTCACAAAAGATCATCCTTTTGAAAATCACTCTCTTTCTACATACTTCAAATCTGGCATGTTTTCGGTCACATATTATTTTACTTTGGTTCGGGATCAAATGCAACAAATTCCATTATTTATAGTCTGTATAATGGTTGTTCCCTGATGTCTCCAAAATATTAGGAATAAGGATCATTGTCACTTTTATCTTACTACTTCATCCTTTGTCAATTTTATCCACAGCATATCCCTTCCCAATTAAAACAGCTGTCAGATGCCTGCCCATTTTTAGGAATGAGACCCTCTAATGAATCTCTGTTAATTTCCTTTCCTTTTCCAGCTCCCAATAATATGTATTCATTTTAACTCTGAGTGCTGTAAAAGTTTTTTTGGTAAGTACCTTCACTAGAGCATACCTTTTTCTTAAACCTTTTTGTTTTCCACTTCACCATTTCAGCACCCAACTCAATGTTCGGCCACAAGGATGGCCCCAGTATGCAGAGCTTTAGCAACCCTCACGAGCCCTGGAACCGACTGCACCGAACTCCTCCTTCGTTCCCGACCCCTCCGCCCTGGCTGAAGCCAGGAGAGCTGGAGCGCAGTTCATCTGCTGCAGCTCATGACAGAGATAGAGATGTAGATAAACGAGACTCATCTGTTAGTAAAGATGACAAAGAAAGGTACGAAAAGAACACTTCCAAGAATTGTCTAGTTCAAAGCTTGGGGCTCTGTTCCGCTTTTAACCCTTCCCAGCCTGGCACATTGTTAAACCAGAGCTTCAGTAGAGGGACACCTGGAGAGGTGACACCATTGCTGCCTATGACGTGAGGCACAATGGAAGATGGAGGTTTCCAACTCAGGTGTTCCCTACTGCATCTGTTTCTCTTCTCACTTGCACCAAACTTCATCAGAAGGAGCTTTGCAGGAGCAGAGTTCAGGCAGTGTCAAGTGAGAATAGAATCAGACCCACACAGTCTGTTACCTTGTGGGTCACATTGTCATAGGTTTTCTGAAGACTTAACATGTAGATAGGTGCCTGATAGGATGAAAAAAGGATTATAAAGTCCATCAGACACTTATCTGCACCTTTGAATACTTAAATAACTTTGGAAGTCAGACCTTGTCTGCAAAACAAATAACCCTATCTCCCTCCTCAAAAATGGACTGACCAGAGGGACCACTGATAAAGTTGTAAAATTATAACACTATAAAATGCACTGGATATGTCTTTTTCCAATACCACAGTAAGTTTCAGTGCATGCAGTTTGTTAAATCAACCTTAATTTCCCTCAAAAAAGCCACGCACACATGCACTGCTGTTACACACAGCAAGCACACTTTTTTATTGAGCGTTTTACATGGACTTGCATGCTAACATGTCCAGGCTGGGAAGGGTTAAGGGAAAGTAAAACCTGGTCATATTTTTTTTTGTCAGGACTGTTCCCATTATAGAGTTAACTCAGTAAAAATTCCTCTTAACATTTAAGTACCAAATTAAAAGAATTTGCCATTCAGCAAGTGTCATGACTTCCTTGCAAAATGTAGAGAGGATGATAGCAGCTTTTTCAGTTGTGGCTTAATGGCTTTCCTGTTAAGTTTGCACATTAATTTACTACATAATGGCTATTTGTTTCTAATATTTTAACATAAAAGAATATTTAGGAGATGTGCTTTTCTGACTTCTCTGTCACTAACCCAAATATAGGCATTAGTAGCCTTTTCTAAAAGAAGTTATGCTAACACATTAGATATTCTAAAAATACATTTAAGAGCTTTTCCGTGTTATTGTAAAATGTGAAGAGCAAGTCAAACTACAGATCTTTTCACCTGCATTTTCCATTTGGAATATTTTCTGTTTGATAGCATAGCTTCATTATTTTCATGTCTGGTGTTAATGCTTCGAAATAAATTGCTGTTACAAATTGGGGATTCTGTCCTGCAAAATGCTTAAGCATGTGAGTAACTTTACTGGCTTGAATGGCAAAGCATTTTAGTTATTAATGATGTGGGTAGTCTTTAGAATTATGCGATTTTCAGTTGCTGTTTTGTTGTTTTCTTATGAAGTGTTCCTGCTGCAGAAAATCACTTTCAGAAATACATTCCTTGCAAGCTGCTTTGGCATTGCCTGAACTCCATATCATAGCTCAGAACATATTTATTTTCAGTAATTTGAGAGCTTAAAAGTAAGCGTCATTCATACTTCATACTTCTGCACAATTACGGCTACCAGTTTAGTACAATAATGTTTTCGCCAGTCTAGTGTCACTGTGCATCCATCTGTGTGGTTTTGAAGAGTTCTACTTTGCAGCATGCTCACCCTGTTGCGTGGAAGAGAAGATGCTGAGAATCCCTTCCTGGAGATGTGCTCCCTATGTAGATAATGCCTGGAGTAGTTTGCGAACCTCTCATACGTATTCTTTTATCTTCAGTGGCACCCAGCAGGGTGAGGATGTAGCCCCATGTTCTAGTTGAGGTCTCAATCTCTGTTACCTATTTTAAGCTAATTTGCCCAAACAGGAAGAACTGGGAATCACACCCGGAGGGAGGTATGGTTTCATCTCAAAATCATCCTGTCATCTAGGGTTTAACTTTATGAGCCCCAAAAAGGGCTGCCGAGCCAAAAGCATTCATTTAGATTTCTTCAGTTACCAGTGGAAAGGTACCTCAGAGGTACCTCTTAGCTTGGCTCTTCCCCAGCTAAGACCAGTGTTGGAGTGGGGTGCAATGAATCACTGGTTGCTCCTCTTGGATAAGCTGTATGGCCAGTGTACCCCAGTGCCCTCCCAGCTAGACTGAGATAAGGTAAATCTCTCAAGATAGTGTAGATAATATGAATCTACAATCTGTGAACCTTGCCTAGGTGTAGAGCTGGCTGGGAAATTACTCTGCAATGTCCTGATACAGTGCCCACTTTCTCCCAGAACATCATTTGCAGTTGTGGAGGTTTTTTTATTTTAAGGACTCTTACTTCAGCCCAGCATTAGAAAAAAAATGAGTGAACGTAGCTATTGTGAAAAGTGGGATTTGTTCCTTCTCAGGAGTATTTTGTTTGAAAGATGTCACTGACCAATTCCATTCGAATACTGACATTTAAGTGTATGTACTCCTAGAGCATTAAAAAAACCTCCAGGAATCTATTGATCTTTTTATCAACATAAATGAGGCAAATTACTTGGCATAAGATACTATCTTTCAGTGTAGCATACAGCCTCAGAACATACCTTATTACTTTGTAATAAGTTAATTTGAGAACATGATCTTGAGTTTCTTCTTTGTGGAGACAGAGGCTTAGAGCTGTTCCCATATTATTAACCTAAGGGGCTCTTGACAGCTCTGAGGATAAAAAATTATTCCCTCTTTGACCACTGAACTACATGCAGTTCTCTTAAGTGAGCTATGTAATCAATAGGCTCTTGAGATAATACCATCACTGTAACTGAATAGGATGAAACTGGCAAAAAAAAAAATGTTGTTTTGGTTGTGCATATATACTTTTTTTCAGTTACAGAAAATGTATGTTATTTTCTCTAAATTTTAACCATAATTTAAAAAACATCATTGCAAAGGAAATTGATTAAATATCAGCAAAAGGACTCAATGAGCTTTCCTAGTGAAATAAAACAACTAAGGGTGCCCTCTGAACTAGTCCCATGAGCAAAAAAATAAAAGACTACGTATTGCAGAGTCCACAAACCACTGCTTTCCCAGCAAAGTAAAGGAATCAAGTCTTCATGCTGAGAAGCCTTCATTGGAGTGCCTTGACTTAGTCTCACTGTGTCCAAATCTGGAAGATGTTAATTCAACTGCCTCAACTTTTGGTGGAAAGTAAGAGGAGGGAAATTAGAGCCAGGGCACAATTTCCAGACTGTTTAGGGCACAGTCAATCAAAGCAGAACCTGATACCAAGGAGTTAATTGGCAGTCAGTGCAGACTAGGCAGTTCTGCTATCAAATGCTCTAACTTACAAATGTTTTCTAACAGTCACATTCTGGACTCTCTGAGGTCTCTCAGACACGGCCCATAAAATGACAGTTTCAACAATGCAGTCTAGACACAGCAAAAGATGCATATGGCGAAGTTACAATAATGAGAGTTTCCTTTTCAAGGATATTTTTTCTGCAGTTGCTGCAGTTTCACTGTCCCAAACTACCTGCAGGTAGAAATCTTATGCAGGTCAGCTCAGCAAAAAAGCAGGTAGCAGAAATCATATAGGTGAAGGACCAAGTGTCCGCTTCAGAGTGACCCTCTGAGTTGCCCTTCAGCCAACCAGTATTACTCATTTTGTTCAGAGTGAGTTTCAACGTGCTGTCCTCATCTGAACATTTACACTTTGCTAAGCAGAGATTGCAGCACCCAAAGAGAAACCATGTGAACTGGAGCTGCTTGGCACTTCAGAGGGCCTCACTCACTTTTGCCTTTAACAGCACATTGTCCAACACCCCGCATGGAATGGCATTTCCGTGCTCGGCAAACAGCGCATGTCGGACACTAAATATCCAGAGCTGTCTTTATGGAGAGACTCCAACTCAGAGATCAATTGAAATTACTGAGAAGTTAAAATCATTGGAACTGAGGAATTAGATTACCTTATGAATTTGATTAATTTTAAATAGGCAAGCTTTTCGACTTAGTGTTGCCTGGACAAAATTGTGGTCAATAACTGTTTCCAGAAAATAACTTGGTATCTGTTCACATATTGAGGTTTTTGTCCACTGCCAGGCAATAATTCCCTGATCTTTTGTGCAGCATAAATAGGTTTGAAAGATTAAATGAATTTGCAGTATTTTGAGACTCCCTAGCATTGGCAGGGAGATGCATTGGCCCTGTCCCAGCTCTGCTTGCTCTACTCTAGAAATGGGAGAGGATTAGTAATCTGAAGAGCATCTTACTCCAAAGAGATGATGTTTCAGAGCTAGCCTGAATGATGGGCATATAGGATAGACTGATCTCTGCTGAGGAAGTCAAAGCATAATCTATGCGTGATGGCCACCTCAATTAAAACACTTGCACTGAGGCTTATTACAGAGAAGGGCCTGCCTGTTCAGAGAGGTGGATTGTCTCCATCAGTACTGGTGTCTTGAGAGGTTTTTGTTTTCAATTTTAAGAAGTAAATTGAATTGTGAGAAGTAAATTGAAGAGCTAGAAGATTGAAGAAAATAGAGATAAGAAATCAGTAACGTACACAGGTCTAGAAATTTTTTTTAAAGTCAGTTGAACGAAATGGCATCTATTTTCCCAAATACATTCCTAATAGAAGAAGCAGGTAAAATACTATTAATCATGCAATTTGGATTTAATTGACTCACTTTTTTTGGATGAAATTAGCATGTTTTTATTTTTCTCTCCTTTGCAAATAATTAAGGCCATTGTCTTAGAAATATGTGTACTAGAGATAGATTCTCTTTGGCGCCTTCTGTGGACTTCAGTGTTTGAAAACTCAATCAGATCATTCACAAAGCAGCTTTGGGGATCTTCTTCTCTTAGGCTGAGGTGATAGAATAGTCCTAGTTTGGAGATGGGATGTTCTTCTGGTGTTTGGGGTGTGCAAAAGGAACAGTGCATTTAATGGTGCATGTTACTAGCTTTCTGCAAAGCAACAAGTATAAAGTCAGACACCCTACATGCTTTGTTTTATTTGCAGAGTTTGTCATGCCTTCATTTTTACACTTCTCTTTCTTCTAGGGAGAGCATCGAGAAAAGACACTCCAGCCATCCTTCGCCAGCACCTATCCATCCAGTAAACTCCCTCGGACATAACCGCAGCTCAAATGAGCAGATCAGGAGCCATCTGAATTCCGAGGTTCGAGAAAAAGAGAAACCTAAAGAACGAGAGAGGGATCACTCCGAATCTCGGAAGGAAATTAATGTTGAAGAGCACAAGGTGAAGGACAACTATATTTCAGAGAAAGAAGGCCTGAGCCATGAAAGCCGAGTGGTGGAAGAGTCTAAGCAAATGTCCAGGGTTCCTTCACCCTATGCTAGGCCCCCTGTTGTGGAGAGCACCAGGCCTAATAGTACTTCAAATCGTGAGGCGGAGAGGAAGAATGAGCCAGCGTACGATAATCCGAAGAAAAGCAATGAAGTCAAAGTGAAAGAGGAGCGAAAGGAAGACCATGATGTTCAACCTGAGAGACCTCAGACTCACAGGTCGTCTGATCAGCCACCACCTATATCTACATCTAACGTCCACCCAAGTCCTTTAGTGTCTATGCCCATGACTGTAGGTGTAACTGGTATACATCACATGAACAGCATCAGTGGCCTGGATAGGACTCGCATGATGACCCCTTTTATGGGAATTAGCCCAATTCCTGGTGGAGAACGTTTCCCCTATCCTTCTTTCCACTGGGATCCAATGAGAGATCCCTTAAGAGATCCTTACAGAGAGCTGGATATTCATCGGAGAGACCCCCTGGGCAGAGACTTTTTGCTAAGAAATGACCCCCTTCATCGTCTTTCTACGCCAAGATTATATGAAGCAGACAGGTCATTCAGGGATCGGGAACCTCATGACTACAATCACCACCACCATCACCACCACCCTCTCTCTGTTGACCCTCGACGTGAGCATGAGCGGGGCAACCACTTGGATGATAGGGAGCGGTTGCACATGCTCAGAGAGGACTATGAACACGCGCGCCTGCACTCCGTTCACCCTGCCGCCTTGGATGGGCACCTGCCTCACCCAAGCCTAATCACGCCAGGACTTCCTAGTATGCACTACCCCAGAGTCAGTCCCCCGACGGGACACCAAAATGGCATCCTCAATAAAACTCCCCCCACAGCAGCTCTCAGTGCCCCTCCGCCTCTTATTTCTACTCTGGGACCTCGGCCTGGGTCTCCCAGAAGGACTACTCCTTTGTCAACAGAGATGAGAGAGAGGCCTCCTTCTCACACCCTCAAGGACATTGAAGCTCGATAAGCAGAGCAAGAAAAAAATAAAAACCAGAGAAAGAGGAACAAAACATTGTAAATGAACATAATATAAAGACCTTCTTACTAGTCATTGATACAGACTGGGGATGTGACCCACTGTACAATATGTATAGACCTGAGTGAAAAGATTTTGAAATGGTTTTTTTGTATATTATATGTTGAAATTTTCCAGATCTTTTAGCCAAGTCCATATGCTCCTCGTGTCTCCTACTCTATTTTATTTCTAGTTTAAACATTTCAAAATTTGAACTGAAGAACAAGACATTAATCTGAATGATGTGACTAGAAACAAACCACCACCGATGTCAACCGTACAAAGCTCTTTCAGACCAGAAGTGAAGACAATTGTACATATTTATGTAAAAAGATTGCTTCATGGGTTAATGGTTCATATATGCAAAAAGGGTAAGATGAAAGCTTTACTTTGTACAAATGTAAATAGATAAAATTAAGTAACATAATACACTAATACTTCTTAAACTGTGCTATTTGCAAACTTAATATTGATCAACACAGTCTGCTTATGCTGTGTTACATATATTGTTATAGACAGCTAAACCCCTTCAACTATGCAATGAATTTTAAGGCTTTTCACAAAAGCCTTTATAACTCAAAGGAGCCTTTTCAACACACAACATAAGTAAAGTCATATTTTCCCTGAACAAACTCGTCTATAATAGAAACCTATTTCTCTTGCTTGTTTTGATGAAGAAACAGCCTGTTAGAAGTGTAGTTTCTGTCTGAACCCCTGCATCAAGATGCTGATGTTACTGTAGCTCATGTATTCCTTAGAATGCGTCAGGGTTAGCGATCTGTAATCACTGATACTGCAATCATGACAGATTGGTTTTTAGTCACATTAATCTGGGTTAAACAGAGTAATAATCAAATGCTGGATATTTTCCAGAACTTCCGTCACTTAACATGTCAAATTTATTTTTGGAAGAACATCTGCTTATAGCCATTCATGTCTGTTTTTATTTTTATTGCTAGTGTGTCATTTTTCTCTGTACACACACTTTTTCTTTTTTTTTTGTTAAGTGATTCTTAGTTACATTGAAACAAATCCTACAAGAAAGCTAATACTTTTCTAAATGATGGACATGTTTTCACTGTGGATCAGTAGTTTAATGAACTCCGGTGAAGATTTCATAATGCAATTTATTGTATTTCAGTTGGTAATAAAGTCTGTGAATAGTTATCAGGTCAGCCTTGTTGTTCCCTAGTCATGGAAGACATGAAATAACATGAAGAACATGGTCCTTTTTAAAAATATGCATCAATCCTCTGAAATATGTCTTTTCGTAACACACTTTTTTATAATGTGTTAAGTTTCTTGTCTAAATATTTGGAGAGAATATGACTTTATCAGAGAGAATTCAATATCTTGTCTACTGGACTGTAAAATACATGTACGAAATAAAATTAGTTCCATTGGTCTTCTAGTGTACTAAAGTGCTATCTGAAGTTGTTATCCTGTTTTGGCAAAAAAAAAAGAAAAAAAAAGAAAAAAGTTAACTACAGACAGTTGTTTCTAATGATCAGAGATCTATTTTAGTAGTCAACCGAAGGTTTAGTTGTGAGCTTCAGATTTTGTGAACTCCAGATGTTGTGCAGTGGTTTTTTTTTTTAAGAACAAAAGGAAAATTACAAAAAAAAAAAAAACCCAACCCTGAAGAATATGTACACTGGAACCGTAGTGGTAGCTTTCAGTATTGTAAAGAGATTGTTATATACGAACCTTTTTGCTGTTTATCCTGTATGTAATAAAGTCCTTTCTAGATCCTATGTGAAAAGAAAAGTGAAGCGGCTCTCAATCTTCAGCATGTTTCCTCATCAGCGAAGAATTGTGTAATGTAAATTGTGCCATGTTATTAAAAAATGTGAACTAAACTGCTAGGTGCTTCTTTGTGTGGAGTACCCCATCGCTGCTATGGGGAAGAAATAATTTTTCCCAAGAGTGGGTTTTTGTTCAGAAGAAAGAGCTATTAAAAATGTAAAGGAAATGGCAAACTTTTATAAGCCATCTTATTAAAATTATTTTAGCAATCAGGAAAAAGGGAACAAAAAGGAGATCAGATCCTTGCCTTGTCCGGATTCTTTACAGTATAGTAACACCTGACTTTAGTTTTAATTAACTGACAAGTTTCTCTTTCAAGATTGTCCCATACTTAAGTACATGGCTGTATGCAAGCCCTTTTTGTGAATTTCTGCAGTTCCACACAAGCCAGTTGCAGCAGCTAAAGATATGACTATCGGTTACTGTGAACAATTTGTACATAAAGATGTCCTATTTCTTGCTAATTGTTTGGTCCTTCATAGTACAGCTTTCATGTTGTCCTTTTTTGGGGGAAAAAAAAAAAAAAAAAAAGGCTCCTCATGATACATGATTTCCAGGAGGGTTTCTTAGTTTGGGGTTTTTGTTTGTTTGTTTTTTACAAGCTTGTTGCAAACACTTCAAAACCTTTACACAATTTGCTTTGGCAGAGGTAACTTGTGACACTGAAATTTGCTTTCTTGATCAAGATTTAGGAAATCTTTCTTCTTCCTCAATAATTACCAGCTGTTTTTGTAAGCAATTAAATATATGCAGCCATATATTCAAGTTTGGTTTGTTTCTGTCTTCATCCCTATAGCACTTTTGTATGTATTCTATCCTTAACTCCCTTGTAAATCTGATGAAAGTGAAATTTCCCTGAATTTCAACTATGTAACCAAGAGCAAAGAATATCCCTGTGTCTTTTTTAAAATGCAGTTTTGTGTAAACTCTGCAGAATGGATAATAGTAGCATAATGTGCGAAAAGAGCTTTTTTTCTCTTCTTTTTCTGTGAGGAACCCATATCTCACTCTTCTGGATGCACATCATTAGAAAAACCTTCCAAGTTTCTGAAGGAAACCAGTTACAGATGGCCATAGAAGGATGAAAACGATTGGAGCAAGCTTGCACAGATACGCTGTGAGGGGCCCCATGAGAGAGGGTCTAATGGGACGATCATTTTCCAGGCTCATCTCAGAGCACTGTAATAGGAGTCCTAACAGCTTTGTCAGAGTCTTCGGGGGAAGAAATATGGTGTGTGATTGTACAGACTATGATCCTTGTCCTCCCAGGTGCTGAGTATACTCCTGCTATACTCCTTAATTGCCAGTCAAGCCAATGAACCCTCACTCTGTGAGTCCCAGAAAGTATTGAGGCATTTCACTCCCTTTGAGTTCAATACAGTTTAAGTGGCTATATGCCTTTGAAGATCTGGTGTCAGGTCTTACAAGAGTGCTGATGCTCAGAGGAATATGCCTGAAAGTTATAGTAAGCGATGAAACAAGATTTTTAATGCTTTTTAACTTTTTCAGATGCATTCACTGCTTTTCAAAAGTTTTGTGTAGGAGCGTTAGCTTGCAGACACAGACAATCTTTTTAGCAGGGTTTTCCATTTAAGATATTTGTCTTAAATCTTCTACTTTTAAATCACTCGTTTGTTTAAAGACCATGCCAAATACCACCTGCAGGAATGAAACCAAGAAGGGTATTATTCTGTAGGGTGTGAGAGATTTGGATCATAGAAAACCCTGAGCTACTATGCTTGCAACACCCAGAACCTTTGTTTTATGCTTTAAAGATCCTACCTGCCCACACTCCAACTGGTTTTCTGCTTAGCAGCTTTCTATCACCAGTTGAGATTCCAACTAAAGCAGTATATAGAAAGTGATTTTTTGAAAGCACTCGTAACATTTGTTCCCTGTTACAATATTCATTTTATGTTGTGCTTTGTCCCTTCTTCTCTTAACCCTCTATATTATTGTCCTTGTCTTTCTTTATTAAATATGTAGCTCTAACCTGGTTTTCTGCTATTCATACCTTACTGATACTCTCTTGCGTTTTTGCCAGTCATGCTGTTTCATGGCTTAGGATAGCTAAATCTATTACAGGCAGCAATAAACACTGCAGACATTTTTTTTTTCTGAAAGCCATAGACACTGTATATTTTTGTTCCTTTTTACCTTTGCTTGTATGAGCTCATGAAAATTTGTAGTCTTTGCTGGACCGGAAGATACGCAAACAGAGGTTGGCGAGGATTTTACTGGAAGTATTTTCATTTGCTGTGGCTGTGCCTTGTTAAGTTTAGCATGATTCTTGATAATTTGAATACTAACTACTGCTTCACACGTGCAGGTTACCTTTGCTGAAAGGCACCCGGGGCACTGGAACAAGGTAACAGACTCTTGGTTATATTCCATTTACAGAGGAGCTACTTGGCTTACTGCTTTTGTTTCTGGCAAGAAAGAAGAGTGAGCTGTGGTTCAAACAATGACTAAAGACTCAAATTATACAGGGTTTTGTGACTCCCACGGTGACTTGGTTAAGTATCACCTGGATAAATCAACTTGCTTCTTTGGACTCTAACTGCCATCTTTGGAGGCATACTCATCCATAGGTTCAGAAGCAATTTGGAGCAGGATCCCAACTTAAATGGTCTGAATTGCCTTTTGAGGTGACTCTTCCTTAATTCCAAATGGACACTAGCCTGCAACTTAGCTGGTTCAGAGAAGTACATGCCAATGAGTGGTGGGATGACCTCCTCCCTTGATTTTTACAGTCTCATCAGATCTTCCTTCCTTCCACTGTAAAGTACCAAACCTAGCCATTCTTTATGTGAAGCTCTTTGGAACACATCCTGTCTCGTACTATGTGGTTGCACTGTGCTTGGTGCCCTGACTGGGGCAAGCGAGCATTTCTCAGTGCTGCTATGATACAAAAAACCTTTGGTAGTATTAGATACCAGAGTGAAGACTGAAGGCCTCAGTGGATTAGCCACAGTAACCACTATAAAAGACTCCAGATTGTTTCTTAACCAAGAAGAAACAAAGCCACAGGTGAGGGCAGTCTGTTCTCCCTGTGCCCTGTTTCCATCTGGAGGGTCTTAGACTGCTTGTGGCCATGGACAAGGTGGAAGTTCCCAGCGGGCAGCACCTCCAAGTGCCTATCGTGG